GAAAACCTGGGTTTTGTTACTAGTCAGATTTGAAGGGCTTTAGAACACTCTTATATAGACCATACTTACCAAAAGTCGTTGACATCGCATTCTGTACGCAAACGCCGCCGATACAGTACTGTCCGACTGGACATATGGCACCGGTCATACATGCTGAAAATGAAGGCTTCAATGGCGGGCCGGCTCAAATTCCTTGGGAACTCACTGGTTTGAGCGGGCACCGCTTGACTTCCACTATAGGCGACGTTACTTCGGCTACAGAACCCATTCACGCATATTTGGCCGTTGAAACATTGCTGCATCAGGCTGCATGGTTGTGTACCTGAATGCAGAACTATCCCCTACTATCCAATTTATTCAATGTTTTAAAATTACTCTGCCCTTTGTTTTCCTGTTTGCTTAGTATGCCATGTACATATTTTTCATTAGTTATATATTTCTATTATTTTTGTTTGAACAATTTGTTTATTCACTCCCAAGATAATCTAGAAGTCTGCAGAACTGCTGGGGTATTGGATTGATCAGTCTAACCATCATAATGGTATGGCATTATAGATAGACCTTAAAAGACAAGCTCCGGGATGAAATGAGGGAGTTCTCTACACAAATATGACGCCCCGGGTGCTAACTGAATCGAACCTAAAAAAAAGCAGGAACTACCCCGAAAAGGTCCAAAATAATGACCTCCTCTTCGTTAGTTACTTACAAGCCAGGGCTGGGAGGATTACGTGTCTGAACGTGTTCACAGCAGCTGCTGGCTCCATGCCAACAACCGACACGGCCAAAAATCAGCAGTGGAAATTGATTTCTTCTAATTTTCCTATTTTTTCTGCTTATTTCTGCTTTTTTGTTTGTTTTTCCTATTTTAAAAATTTGATTCTCTTTAGAATGAATGGCAAAGTTCCCGATAATGGCCGTAACATAGACTTTGATGTGAAGTTGGCAGTCGAAATCCGCAAAATATCCTCCTACGACCTTCCAAACAACGGCTTGACATCTAGTGTTCCAGTGTTGTTTGGAAGGTCGCGTGGAACAGTGGGCGGGCTCAATGGGGTTGGGGCGGCGCCAATGCTCCAACCTAAACCTTGTCAAATCACCCCGTCACTTCTGCACATGGTCCGCGCTTGCGTACTGCTGCATATTTGACGGGAAAAAGCTAATTTTCGACCAATTATTCCGAACTTTGCCTTCAACCTAAGCCAGTAGTGTAAAAAAGTGAGGTAGTTTCAGAAATTCAAAGCTCTAAGGCACCGACGGAATATCGGTTTCTTAAGCGCTTTCAAAAGAACAGAGCAGCGTTGATGGCTCAGATGTAATTGAACTGATCCCATCAAAACATCATAGAGAACAGAGATAAGGGGTAAGAGAAAAGAGTGGAGTCTAGCATAATTTAGGAATTTTTCGAGTGTGATGTTTTTATAAGACTGCGCTATTTATCGTACCTCCATTCGGGAGTGAAATGGTTCCAGAACATCACCGTCGATACTATTCAATTATGAAATGGTTTTCCATGGTGCGGTCTATGTTCCGAAGTGGAGCGTTCATAGTTGGCGAGCGTGCGATTAGGCGATGATTCAAAGTGAAAAGTATACAGATCGATTAGGCGAGTAGGCGATCAGGTGATATCTGGATTGTGATGCAACACTTTGACAAGATCTGCTCTTAACAACTAGTAGTCTAGTGTATGGGGTGAGAAGCTAATATGCCTATGCACCTCAGTTTTGACGACTAAAGAGTAGGTGCCGGTGTGCAAATTCGGCCTAATCGCCTAATCGCGCTAATAGGCCTACTAGCTGTCGCGTACCGGCGGCCTACTCGGCGCTAATCGTCTAATTTACAGTATATTTTTATTTAGTAATAATCGCGTAATCGCCTAATCGCTCACTGAAATGACAAATCGTTAGGCCATTTATTTTTTATCCAGTCAAATAAAGTTGACAAATGAGATCATATATTCTCTGCAATAGTAGCATTGCTAACTTTTGGCTAGGTTGAGTTCAGTTCAAAGGCCAACTTCGATTCGTTGGCGTGATTGAGAGTCGGTGCACTGTACTATGCATGCAACATCGGAATATAAGACATTATAAAGGTGTGGGATTGTTTAGGGTGTTGATAAGTAGACGTTTGACCATCTCTAAGTTCCATGATTCGGAGCCTCAATGGTCCTCCATATCGGGGCCTGTTCCTCTATATATTTATGTGACTGTAGGGGTAGCATTTGTGGCCAATACCCCTAGCATCTGTCCAGGCTCATACGTGATATCGCGTTTTCGGTCTGATGCGTGTCCTCACCGCCCGATAAGGGCCATTACATTCCTGAAACTCCGCTTGTGTGATGTGACACAAAATTGAATAATTCATGGAGTTGTACAGTGGAATCACTAACTTAAGATAGCGTTTCAAGTTACAAATGGTTAGCTAACTCTTTTCGGAAAGGCTATGTACACGAATTAAGCTCATAATCAGAGCGGCATTTGGATGAGTACTGGTTTCACTGTTGTTGATTTCAGGTGGTGTTCTGCTCGGGGGGGGGGGGGGCGAGAAAAGCTCACCGGCGGCGCGGACGCGAGCGCGTGCCGGTGACGTCAAAATGACGTCACAGCTGCGGCAGATTCGAAGGAAGGGCGAGCAGTGGCTTGCGCCGCTACTTTACTTGAATAAAGCTGGGTTTCTGGCACTAGCAAAATGATGTATTATGTTCAGGCACCATCCTAGGAATTGGAATTTCTTGAAAATGTAGAAGAAGTCGAGGCTTTATGTGAAAACCCTTAGGAGTACACTGTCAATAACTTGAATAGCTGAGTGTTCTTCGTGTTCGATTCCACTTACTTCTACTTATCACACAGTGAAGTAAGAGCACGATAGATGCTCGGAGTACTTAATGTATTGAAGTAATGGTGGCAAAGCTGGCCCTTGCTCGCTCCCTCGCCGCCGTTGTGACGTCACCAACACGCGAACGCGTCCGCGCCGCCGGTGAGCTTTTCCATGGAGCCGTTCTGCTCTATTCAGCAAATGCGGCGCCTATTAGGCGACGGGAAGCGACAGAAGACTCAGCTGGCTTTAGGGGGCCGAGGATGTGCTAGGAAGTCGGAACCCATTTGCACATGCAAGTTTTGCATCTGCTGACTACGCTCCTTGTCCTAACCTTAAGCTTCTTGAGGACCGTGGGATAGAAAGGTCAAGACGTTTAAGTAAATGGCGCCGATATTTGATATGAGATCGCGCCATGCATTTGACTTTTGTTCAAAATTAAGGTAATATGTAGAATGTGTGCTTGGTCTCCACTAACCACTATTAATTTCAGCAGCTGATACCCTAAAAAGGATTTGATGTTGAATGAATGGATAAAAGGTTGACTGGGCCCGGTAAGACTCGATCCAAGAGTCACTTCATGGATAGAGGCGCCCTTTCGAGTACTCCATT